TATATATATATATACTATAAAAGTAAGATGTATATACGTATACAAGTATAAAGTATATATATATATATATATATACTAGAAGTATATATATAATTTAATGAGATTATATACATATATATATAAGACATCTCTAACCACTACTGTGTATGAATGACTGTACACACCATCACACACGATGTTAGTGTGATAACTTATGACATGCACATGACACTCACATGAAGTGTGTTGCGTGCGATTACTTATGACATGCACATGACACTCACATGAAGTATGTTGCGTGCGATTACTTATGACATGCACATGACACTCACATGAAGTGATGCGTGTGATTACTTATGACATGCACATGACACTCACATGAAGCGTGTTGCGTGTGATTACTTATGACATGCACATGACACTCACAAGAAGTGTGTTGCGTGCGAATACTTACGACATGCACGTGACACTCACATGATGTGTGTTGCGTGCGATTACTTAAGACATGCACATGACACTCACATGAAGTGTGTTGCGTGTGATTACTTAAGACATCCACATGACACTCACATGAAGTCGCCGTGAGTCATTGTGGTCAGAGCCAACCACAGACCGCGCACGAGAGAGTCGCCAATCAGAATCAATCGTCGATATCTGCAGGGATATTAATAGTCACCAATCAGAATCACGCGTGGGTATTGGTAGAACGCTAGTTGGCAACTAGTGTGATGTCCACTGCAAATGCCTGTAGTGACGTGAGAGTACCTACGCGGTACCCTTATCCAATACATTCAATACTGAATACGGATAAGACAGACAACGGTCGACTCAATCGACTCACATACACTTATCGAGACCACACTCGTGGACCACTCTTGGCTACAATGTATAGGAGGATGTGTAACATGCGACATGCAGTGGTAACTGTTTAATGGTTAGTGAGCGATAGCGATGCACCATTTGTTGTGCTGTGTTGTGTTGTGTTGTTGTGTTCGATAGGATTGATACCACTGACGAGCACATGTAGGTATCATCAGCTAACACACTCGGAAAAGTGCGGCTCTAGGCTACGTGAAAGATTAATGCAATAAAGTTAATAGTACAGCGCATTGGGATATGCAAAAAAGTCGATGTCACCCATTACACAGGTGCAGTTATTGTTATAGGTTTTCTTGTAATGTGAAATCATTCACACATCCACAGATACGTTTCACCTTCTACACACAAACGTATATATAATTATAATTATATATACACATACATACATATATGTATATATATATATACACAGCTATATATATATATATATATATATATATATATATATATATATACATATACATATACATATATATACATATACACACACACACACACACACACACAACACACACACACACACATATATGTATATATATAGATATATATACATCTATATAATGTTTATGGAAGGACGTACTTGGTTCGCTGCAGTGCCTTGCATGTGCGTCTGGGTGACATGGGCTTCATCTCGGGGCAGTTGTCGGGGATCCACCACTTCATCGTCTGTCATAGCCGCGAATTCATGCGTGTGTGGATACAACGTCACATGTCAAGAAGAATGCGCTTAGGGGTTAAGCTTAGGGTTTAGGGGCCAGGGTTTTCGGTGAATGGAAGCAAGTGATGTAAGTACTAGGGTTTAGGGTGTGTCATCACGTCATTATTGATGGCTATGTATTTTACTTTGTGCCATTGCTGCTTCATGACTTTGTGGCTCAAAGTATTGCAATTCTTAGTCAGTGAATGGCTGTCCATTCATAGTGTGTGTACTGCTCAGACTTCTTTAATTATACTTACAAAGCTATTCGTGTGGATGTGCAGGTCCTCTGACAGGGCATACCAACGCACACACACTCGGATTGAATTGATATGAATTGCTTCATCACGCACATACACTTACAAGCATAGACTATCATCACCAATCGTCTCCTGTCTACATGAACTCTAATGTCAGTCACACACATACATTCATACACACACATACATTCATACACACACCTTATCATCACCGATCTTCTTGCTGCACGCCCGGAAGAGATACTCGTCGCTTCCAGAACTAGCGGCGATGGGAAAAAAGCACACCAGGTCACTTGATAATCATGTCTAACGCTTATGTGGATGGTACCTACATTGATGGTGTGCCACTCAGTCAACTTGCATTCGCGCACACACGAGACCGAGTCAGACCTATCTTAACCCAACAACACGTACACAGAGTCTTGAATCTTCCACACATCACCTGTCTAGCTTTGTGACCACACCCACTCACCTGCAGAAGTCTCTCTCGTGCCAGCTACCCTGCTGCATGGAGGTGCGCCACAGTTCACTGTCACACAGTTGGGGCAGCCCATCCTCGATCGACCCCGCGTACTTTCGTGTGCCAAGGTCATCGCTAACCTTGCTGTGGTCTTGCGTGTCCTTCTGCGACGCTCTACCGTTCGCTGTAGTGTGTGTGTTACTGTTGGGTGTGTTGTCTCTGTGCGCAGCTGTGTCTTCTCTGTTGTCGCGTGAACGGTCGCCGGTGTTGTTTGTATCTTCATCCTGGGTAGGTGTGTCCACCTCACTCGGAGTGCTCTCTCCGCTGTCCTCAGCTACCCTGTGCGTTTCAGGTGTAGGGTGCTGTGTGCTGAGAGAGTTGATATCTTTGATCGTGCTGCTGTGCTTGCGTGTATCGTTCACTTCTTCAGTGTTTGTGGGAGTGTCATGGTCTGTCTCTCCATCATCTGTATCTCCCTCTCGTGTGAGTGAGTGAGTGTCATCTGATGCGCGGTCGTCTGTAGTGTATGAGTTTTTACTGTCGTGCTCCGCAGTTATGTCTCCTTGTTGTCCGTCTACGACTTTCGTGTGGGCAGTTGTCAGTGGCGTGTGTACTACCCTGCTCTTACCAGCATCGTCCAGCACTGGCGGCTTGGTCAGCGCTACCCCCTTTGGCTGTCTTTCAGCCACCCCTTCAGGCACATCATGTGCACCTACCGCTCCCTGTTTACTATCCACATGTGCACTATCCACATGTGTTCCTGCATGTACACTATCCACATGTGCATCTGCCTGTACACTATCCATAGCTGCATCGGTGTGTTGCTTGTCTTCTGGTAGTGTCCTGTGTCGTGGGGCTGTGTTCTCTGACGCCCCTCCCTGTCGTTCTGCCATGAGATCGATTGCTTCATTCGTAGACGTATCTTTTGATTCGACCATCTGCGCCATCTGCGCCACCCGTGGCACCAATTCTTCATGGGATTGTTCCATTGTCTTGTTATGTGTCTCAGTCACAACTGGCTTGGCCTTAAGGAGCGTGCGCCTGTTCTCGCTGTGCGTTGCTGTCTTAGAGAACACATCCCCACTAGTGGCTACCCTGGACTTTCGTATACCACTCTTACGTGCCACTCGTGCGACTGCTTGATCTAAGTATGGGATCGACATGCTACCTGGTTGTGCAACCTGTGTAATGGCCATAGCAAACAGAATAAAGAAGCAGAACTTCAGCATATTGCCTAGCCACACTCTAATGAGCTTGTCATTCTTGACGGGCATGTTGCGTGTTTGAGCGCGGAGTGGAAGTTGTGAGCACGGATACCAGTTTGAGTGTGTGGGTATAATAAAGAAACAGCAGTAAAAGGAGTGTTTGTGATTAAATTCGATGTATATATTGGCAGCAGCAACTGTGAGTTCATATATTCTATTGTACATGCAATGCCTTGGATGCATTCATGAGCGGTTCGCTGAACAATATAAGTATCTCTACGCCTCTCCTATAAAAACTGATTGTATAGACATATATAAGACTGCATATGCGTGTGCTTGCGATGTGCTTCTGTGAATAAGCTGAGCTCTCTTCGCAACTCAACAGTTATGTGAACAGGCCTGCATACGTGCGCCTGTATTCAATATTGACAGAAAAATGTATCACACCTTGCTTGACATTGCTAAGCATCAGCAGTATTTTTTAGAATAATTAGATCCAACTTGACAACCAGCTAGAAGACACGCCAGAATATAAAACATTTGTCACATGTTGAAATTGAAAACAGAATGTGTAGCTAAATACAAACGATGTATTATACTATTTCTTCAATTTATCTGGACCTCAGTATTCACAACTCGGTTCAGAAATATAAACAACATTTGAAACATCTAGTTGTCGGAGCGATATGTATTTTAGTACATTTGTCGTATATGTGATGCAATTGTCAGGTAATCAGTCATGGCTCCAAAAAAGCCTTTTATGTAGTCATCGAAGCGTCATCAAAATTAGCAGATGACGGGGGAAAAAAACTGCCACAACTGTTTGTCCTACAACAGCACCACTGATACCAGTGACCAGCTGATATATAATATTAAAAAACGTATATGGACAGTAACCGCACAACCATTCTGGTCTGTGTTTGCGGACTACTATTTATCACATCGCGTATATCCCCACAAGAGGCAGGCATTATAAATAGCATTGATTAGTAAACAGTGGATAACTATACAACATAAATATGCGGGTGCTGTGTGCGATTGCGCTAAGCTTTACGGCGGTGGTGGCATCGACTGTCCGCAATGGAGAGCGACTGACTCAACCTGGTAGGTGGGGATAGATCTAGGTTATGTAACCGTGAATATACGTATATATATAAATATATATATATATATATATGGATAATCCACTTATATATCTGAATAGCATAATACGGGCGAGCCTTAATCCATTGCTTGCATGTTGTTGGTATAGCCTGTTAGCTCGTGAAACTCGTGAGGTTAAGTTTGTTTTCAAGTGTCTGTATTTTATTAGTATATTTGCACAATATGAACACACCCCTATAAATAGAACAGTCTCAAAGGAATACACATACTCAAATAAAGCTTTAACATACATCTTACTGGTCTATTACCTCATGTAGTAAACGATGGTGAGGAACATGGCGTGCTCACAACACGCTATGAGATGTTCGATTACAAACCCAAGGCACAGGACCTGGCTACAGTGGTGACCAGCGACGGGGGTGTGCGCATTACTGTACTGACTGATCGATTGATTCGCATTGAGCAGGGGGTGAAGGTACGTCTAATTTTATGTACCGTGGATGGTGTGACAATTTTGTATTCCCGCAGAACGTTTTCATTATTTACTATGTTTCATTGCAAAATTGCGCTGTGTTTGCTATACATGAGATGGTGTGTGCATAGGCGAGTATGCGTATATTTAAATAGGGCGTTTACCTGAAATCGATTGACAGTATTAATGCGCTGGGAGTAGCCCCAGATGGAGTCCGTCGGTTGGCTTCTATTAAGAACTTTGATAGATATCATGCATGGTTCTCAAGATCCACTATATTGGCTTCACTAGTGCAGGACCGACGTAGAGATTGTCAAGTATGTTGTATGTGTGTCTATCTGGCGTATGGTGCTCTATTGGCGTCTGATATATAGCTTGTCACTATATACATCCACAGTACAATTGCATATATAGTATTCTATATCATTCGTACCGCACTGTAGAGTACACTATTCATTTACTTTTTCGCGGAGATCAATGGCACCAGTGCACATCTGCATTGTATAGAACTATGCGTTTGATTATAATCTACTTCGTGCATTTTAATTTTAGTGTAGCTTACCTACTACATTCATCTGTAAACGGTAGGATGAGGATTGTGATTGTTACACCTTTGAAGACCGCCCGAGTGTTGCGGCGGTCAATCGGCACCTGAAAGTACCGAAATTCGAGACCACAGACAACGGCACTACGTTGTCTCTCACAAGCGATCAATGGGAGATCACTCACGTTATCGGCAGTGATTTGGACGACCCAACTGGGTAGGTATATGTTCTATAAATAGAACTTTGTTCTCTTTGTGTAGTGCAATCCTGGCTATACCCGCTGGTATCATTAATATAGATGTGATCATCAATCATGAAACGTTAAACGGGCGATTCGTTCAACAGACACGCGTATAAAGGCACTCGGACGCTGCTGTACTACTACTTTGAAGTGCGGGTGAATACATTATACGCAAACTACGTATTGATTGGTAACTAACTCAGATGTCTCTACAATGCACGAACATCAGTGGATGATTGTATATCTGAAGATGGGTTTGTGGTGGTCGCTATGTGTTGTTGGCACTCATGTGCTGCTATGGAGGATCCTGACAATTGAGATATTCTCTGAGATTTAAATACCGACGACTATCCAAATTTGATACACTTGCATATCAGAAGTATACTGATAGGTAGTAGTGGCTCCTTGACACGGAAACGCGGACATCTACGCACACACACCCATCTCACTACAGACAAGTCATCAGGGTAACACACACACGTTCACTACAGACAAGTCATCAGGGTAACACACTCCCATCTCACTACAGACAAGTCATCAGGGTAACACACACACACACACTACAGACAAGTCATCAGGGTAACACTCACACTCACTCACTACAGACAAGTCATCATGGTAACTCAACTCACTCACTCACCCCGTCACAGACAAAGCATTAAGGTAACACATACACACACTCACTCGCCCCATCACAGACAAAGCATTAAGGTAACACACACCCACACACACTCGCCCCATCACAGACAAAGCACGAAGGTAACACACACACACACTCACTCGCCCCATCACAGACAAAGCATTAAGGTGCAGGCTATCACTGGGGACCAATTAATACAATGGGACTCCAGCAAGCGATCAAGCAAAGACAGCGGTAACCTCATGGGCACATTCCGAACACTGGACCAAGTGGATAGAATCACCCTCAACTGC